CTGCACAGTAACAAGTCTCTAACTGTAGAGGAAGTGTTTTTTAGTTGTTGCCCACTGACTTTCTGTTTTTTAAGTGATTTATTCCAGATTATGATGAAACTGTGGCAACAGTCAGTGAATAATGTTTTTGTTTTCCTTGAGTCAGTCCGATGTACAATAATGGTTTCAGTGTACATCTGATATTTTTACCCTTCACAAGAATAATTTCTGGTGTATTTATAGTGTCAGTTTTCATAAGAAACATATTTTTGACCCGTGCTGACATCTAGTGTTCAAACAGGACATGATTTTTCTGCCTGAGGATACAGTATTGTCACTGCCATGAAGTTTGATGATGCAGGCGGTCCATCATTTTCAGGGTTAAATCATTTTTTCTATTGAAGGTTCATCTCATCCTGGTGCTAATGAGGAAAAACATCTCTTCTAAAGTTTACCTGTATTTAGGGTTTAAGGCTTTACACAGGTGCATTTTAAACAGCCCAGCAGCAGTGTTGCAGGTACAGTAACACTGCAGTTAATCAGACAGCAGACCAGACACTCTAGAGATTCAGCAGTTGCTATGCAGAATCAGTATGATGGGCTTATGGTTACCTTTTCACAGATATCAGCACATTATGGAGTAAAAGGAAATAACAGGGCAAATTAACTGGTTCTTATGTGGTGCTTTTCTGCTCAAGCACTCACACACTTTATGCAACATGTCCCATTCACAAACATTCATGCAAACACTTTCTTTTACATTTAGGTGCTTTTCTGTCTTACATTCACACACATTCACACTCCTGGATGCATCAGGAGCAACTCGGACTCCGTATCTTGCCCAATGATACTTTGGCATGGAGACTAGAGCAGCCAGGGATCGAACCTCGAACTAGCTCCACTTCCTGAGCCACAGCTACCCCAAAAATGTGGTTGCAAAGGAGGTATAATGAGGCAGCCAAAGAAGGAAAACTGGGAAAAGCAATGGAAGGGAGAAATGAGAGGATGATGGTTTTACAGGAAAAGAAAAGAAAATAGAAGAAGAAACAGGAGAGGTTAAATATGAAGGTGAGAGAAGGTAGCTGATCCAAAACCAAAAACTCAGTGTAATCAAAGTTAAAACAGATCTTATCGATTTACTGCAATTGAAATTCAGAAATAAAAGTTATCAGGTCATATTTAGTTATAAAAACTGGTTTGAAGTTATTTATTTATTTAGTTTTGTTTTTTGAGCGACATTGTGGCCTCCAGTCCATACCAGTTGGTGGCGCTAATGCACCAAAGTTAACAAGAGAAAGAAGAGGAAGAAGAAGCCGGGGTGGGTGCGTGGTCGGCGTGTGTGCGAGCACGAGCGGAAACGGCGTTTGTTGTTCTTCCCTCTGTTTCCGAGACGTTCAGGGTCTAAACGGGTTCAACAGCCGCGTCTGCATGTCGCTGCCAATTCCCGCAATAACCCGTCTTCTACCGCCCCCGAATGAAGGTAATGTCAGGTCTCACTTTGTTTCTGTGCTGCTGCCACCTTCTCCGTGCTCTCCCGGGTTTAATTTAGCACTTAAATCCGCTCGTATTCGTGCCAAGTGCTCTCCCCCGCAGTCCGCCTAGGTGGCTGCCCGGGCGGCTCGCGCCTC